TGGATAACACAAAGAGGGTCTTGAACGCACGAAGTGGATCGTCGATCCTGCATGATCTTTCGCATCCGTACTCTCCTTTGGGGAAGAAATTTCAAGATGTCGTCTTTAAATACCCGCTGTCGGTCCTACATCCAAACCGAGGCGTGCGTCATAAGATTGACATGATTTCGGGAGCCAAATACAGCGTAACACATCGAACCACGCCTGCTCATAAAACAGTGTGACGTTATTGACTTCTTTTTTGAGAGAAGTACGATGCAGGAATGGTGCGTGAGAGCAAGCCTCCCCATTCGACACTCACATTTTCTGTTCGGAAGCCGAACGGCAAGTGGCGTATTGTCCACGCTAACAATAACCAAAATGCTGGCACAGACGCTGATTCCTCGAAAAGATGTTCTTTACAACAATATGGTTGGCTGTACAAAGTACAGCGCACTCGACTTGGTCGTTAGTTATTACCAATTGCTCATTAGAGCGAGTGATATTCCGTTGACAGCGGAGAGTACTCCAAGTGGGATGCTCTGGGAGTGATTGATGCTGCCCCGAGGGCTGTCAAATGTACCAGCAAAATCTAATCGTCTTGTGATGCAGCTGTTCAGGCCCCATTGGGCGTATGCACAATCATACTTTAACAACATCTACATCCACCGTCATGCGGGGCACGGGAGAACAGATGAGAAATCTACATCGCCCATTTGAAAGCGGTGCTCGAGTGCATGCGCACGAATAAGCTGTATGCTAATGCAGATAAGCGCATATTCGGCGCGGGAAAAAAAATCCCTTTTCAAGGTGCTTCATTGGGAAGTGTGGCCTTCAAGCGGATCCCGCTAAGGTCAAGGCCATTGCGGGCTGGCCGGTTCCAAAGAACCATGCGATGGCCATCTCGACTTCTCTCACCCAGAGCAGGAGATTCTCTCAACCCTTCCCCTCAAAGACCTTAACGCTCACTATGAGCGGCTTAGGTCGGGGGAAGTCATCCGTCACCGACGGTGGCATCCTAGACGCAAACGATACAGACATCTTCTGCTGCAGGTGCTCTAGCAGCGCGTTTTCTTAACTCGAAAACGCCTCTAGACGCGCACCGATTGCCTCGGGGCCTTGCCCTACAAGATGTTACACGCCCTCAGGGCCAAACAAGGACATAACCTTTAAAGCCCGTCTAGCCTGCCCTGGGGCAAAGAGGAAAATTCCCCCATTCTTACAGAGGATCAGTCTAAACGAATCAGGTGCAGATTGACCACAAGTGCTACCAAGTTCAGCGGGCTACCGTAGCTAAGCGCTTGAAGAAGCGTACTTTAGGTCACCGACCTTTCGTTCTTTACAAGAACCAAGTATGAGTTAGCGGATCGCAATCCTCTTAATCCAAGAGTGATTATTGCCTTCCCGAGGCTAATCGACTCTTCGGTTTAAATTCCAAACTGATTTTTGTTAATCTTTTTATCTTAATTTTAAAAGTTTAGATTTTTCCAAATATACTAAATATGTCTAAATACATGCGTAACTAACTGGCTACCTAGCCTCGTGCCGTATTCTTGTTTGGGTGTGTGGTCACATCATGCACATCTCGTGTGACACACACCCC